ACAATGACAGAAAGTGTTTGATTTCAGGCGTCTGCAACAGAATTAAGTAGAGGCACTTAAGTTGAAATAGTTGGAAGATTGATAATAATTATCACATGACATTGAATCGGCCATCAAGTAAAAATCTTTATATAATGCCAGAGCACAACACCTTGTTTGTCCACATCCAACCAGCCTACACATAATTGACCAATCAATATACGCCAAGATGTGTTAAACTATGAGTGAAGCGTGAGGCTCTGCTGCTTTGAAAACATTAAATGGAGTGGTTTGACCAATTTTTAAATGCTATTTTTGCCATATTTAGCCGTATTAAGATGGAGGATGTGAGGTATCATTACATGTTGAGCTATTCTGGTCGCCTCAAGTATGATTAGGTAATAGATAAATGAGTTATTTCAAAAAGTCAGACAGACAGCTTATTATTTCTGGTAGTTTAAATGATGAGATATTGAATAGAGACCTTCCACTGAACACTGTATCTTGCTTAAAGTAGCTAAGTCCATAACCCAATATCATCCAAAATCTTCAACAGTGAAAACACGATTTTTTTTGCAATTTAAATCAGCATTGGTGTGGTGATCTTACCTGGAAAAGATGGGCTTCTGATATACAATATTTCAGACAAAATAAACATTTTACCATTGGTACACGAATCGTGAACCATAATGCGTTTCAGTGCAATTTGTAACAAGGTGCTCAAAGAATGAGGCTAGACATATATTCCACATGTCATATCAAACGGTAATGCCATATTCTTATTTGTAGAGCATGCACAATAAATACTATCGATGTTGACTGGAATAACCAGACGCTAGAAACTGACTGTCGGTTGAGACTTCAGGCGTATATCGCCGAACATAACTGATGACAATTCACAGTAAAACAGAAACGATTGAATGTAAAACAGTTTATATAAATTCCTATTATATTATTATATGTGTTGCGACCCATCTGTGTCAATTTCTAGCTCCAAAATATTACCGATTTAGCTCCTTTAAGTAACATTGCACCACATTGAAGAGTTATTTGTATTTTCTATTATTTTAATTATACTGACAGATTGCAGGTTTTCCTGTTGTGACGAGAGCCATGGTGGCACAGTGAATATGGCACTGGCTCGCTAATCAGGAAGTCTCAGTTCTATCCCGGTGTTGGCCAAGATTTTATAGCCTTGTTTCCCCTTGTCAGTAATCTGGCAACCCTAGAATCATTAGAATAGGACAAAAAATGAGGTCTACCTCTGTACATCTTGATGAAGAGACAAGAGTTCGCACGTCTTCAAGTAAAACTTAAAATAAACCCCATTTCATATCATTTCTTATAGTAAATGATCATTATTAATTTAGTTCTGAAGGGAACTAGAATGCTGTAGCCTGTCACTTTATGCTCATTTCTACAATAATAAAAAAAAATATTTTAGATTAATGATTATTATAGAAGATTAAATGCACCGAGGCTGAACTCAACTTAATCAAAACTAATCACTTTCTATTAATATACACATTTTTCAGTATCAGATACTATTGAATTAATAGATTTATAGGATTTGATTTATGTACCACTTTCTGCAGCAGGAACAACCCTAATATTCCATGTAATTAGAAATAATAGGATCGCTATAGCAACAAGAGTCCTTTGATTATAAAAGCGAATATGATCTGATATATCAGCGCAAAAAACAAGTGTTTCTTCACAATAAGGTTGAATTTATTTAATGATCAGGAAGTAGATTAAGTCCTTTGAGATTAATTATTTCCGAAAATATTTGAAAAACAAAATTCTAGCCCACGTGTTAATGTTTTAGACTAAAAATCAGGAAATGATACAAAAATTTTATGCAAACAGAAAGTGATAACAATATTAAAAGGCCCAAATTTATGTATCTGAGCTTATATTGGTGGCTCATGGTGATATTTGTGATCACATTCACTCAGACAGCCCTAAAGTTGTCGATCATTATTTACAGTTCTAGAACAATATCAAACTTTTCAATTCAAGGCTTAATCTGTGCTAAAATGTAATCAGACTGAATATTTAACATTTAATAAGGAAAACATTACCAAAATATTAATGGTAAATAATCTCTCTGCTTAGATTCAATTGGATCACTTCTTTATACTGGTAAATAGTGAATGAAATGTAACTATTTTTGGACTGATGTTCTTTGTATTAATTAAACTTACGCAATATTGTAGTTTGCAAGGGATATAAAATCACTTCAATGGAGATTGAGATTTAAACAAACTGAGTCCCCTTAACAGACATTGATGCTTTTATCTATTCATTGTATGTTCAGTAACAGAAGGGCAGATTTGATATGAAAAAAAGACATTATTATTACTATTATTCTACTGTCATAGTAAAGGCTTCATGGCATTACATAATTATGCCCCCATTTTTTTTAAAACATTTTTTTTTCTAGGATTGCATTCTCGTGATCGCCATGAATGATATGGATGACATCCAGTGATGAATCTACTAGACAGCTCTTAAATTTAATATTGATTTTTGAGACAGGACTACCATTATTGAGTCTGACTCTTAAAGCAGATTTCCTATGATTATGGTTCATTGTCTGAAATTCCAGAACCATTGAAACTCAATTTATTGCCAGTATATATTCAGTAATCCCATTGTACATCACAATCATTGAAATTGACTTCCTAAAACCCCTCTTAGTTGAATTTATGTCATCAATTCTGGCTGAACACTTTACTTAAGATTGAAAAAAATAATAAAAACTTGACATATCTTACTTGGTTTGGAATGAATTTAGCTTCTCGTGTACTGTACTTAGACCAGACCAAACTAGAAACACCCATGTGGATATTTCCGAGCTCCAACCCTACCTGACAAAATATTGGTTTGATTCTGACTGACCTGGGTTTTAGAGATAGTATTCTGAACATGCTTGACCTACAGTTCACCTAAAATATTATTACATGTGTATCTGCCCAGGGATTTGAATAATTGTTTATATATGGAAATCACATCCTAGAGTACAACAATACATTACATGTACCACTAGTACCAGGCTCAGCTAACAGAGAATTCAACCCTCTTTTAGTGTATTTGTTGGAAAATGTATATGTCTGTAGGCAGAGCTACCACCCGGTTCTTAGAAATATGGGACAATCAGTTGCAATAAGTTTGGAAACATTCTGTCACATCATCCTTAAGACAAAGAAATCATAAATAGGACAATAGACGAAGGTGTAATAATGTCATATTAGCATGTTTAAGATTTTCAATTAATTTTAAAAGATTTATGGTCTGTTGATTCAAAAATGTTGATGAGAATCTAGATCAAGTTTTGAACTGACTGCCATAATTTATTATTTTTTTGAATTTTTGGAATAATCTTACTCAAATTAACAATAGCCCTCCACTATTGGTCCGATTATATACACTGCTATTTCAATCATTATAATTTAATGATTAATTTGTTTAAAACTACTGTTTTATTTTATCAGGCTTCCTTGAAATTAAAAGATTGTATCTAAAAGAAAATCATATAAAAGTTACCATACTTTAATTGTGGTCTGATATTTAAAGTCTACTGTTTTCTAAATTACAAATGAACAGTTGATGCTCTATTTGTAATTATTTTATTTTAAATATAAATACCAGTAACATAGAATACCAGACAGTTTGTGTGAGTCAGGCTATCAATAGTTTTTATCTATTGATTTTAACTACATTCACCAGTGTAGTAATCTATCTTTAGAAATTTCTTTGTGTTTTGTTTTGTTTTTATGTCTTTAATAACAAAAGAAAAATGATTGGGTATTGTTTCCATAGTTTTATGTTCATAAATTTATCTGTTATTTTGTGTGCATTTATCTGGCTAGAAAAATCTATAAATAAGTTTCGTGTTGTAATTTCATGTACTGTAATATGGTAAACTCATCATAATAATGAGTTCATTTCTTCTACCTGGACTTCTAACTGCCAATATTTTTTTAGGCTAACAATCTTATAATAAAAAATCCTATAGAATGTGATTCCCTGCACTATTTGTTGCAAACATTCCAATTCTCCACGTTTTGCACCACATTGTGCTTTTATGAACATCTAGCTTCTGTATCAGTAAGCCGCCATTTTGAAATCACAAGTAATTCATGAAAAGGTTGCATAAATTAAAATGTTAAGTGAGCCCTCTTTGATTTGGGTGAGAAATAAAATTGTTCATTTGAATGTATTTTATATTTTGATTTTTTTTTTTGTGGGATAGCAATCTGTCTTAGTTGTAAATTTTACGTCAATAGATAAAGCTATCTCTATATTAAGATAGATACTATTTTCTGGTCCACTGTCAACATGGTAATTTAAAATTAGTAAATTAACCATCTTCCACTTTTGAACCAATTTTTTACTTATATAAAGCTTGTGTCCTTACTAATGAAAATGTGTCGTAAACCCAATTAAATACTTGAGGTTCTACTTTAAACGTCACTCTTTTATTGAATTAAAATTGATGAATTTAAACTTTTAAACTTATATAGTAGTCTTTGTTCCTTATTTGTGGGATGGTTAATCTCTTGCAATCGGTAATATTGTGAAAGTTGAAGCTCGAAAGGATTAACCATCCGAAGATGAATCTGTTCTGATCAGTGTTTACAGAGATTTATTGAATTCAAAATTTGTCTTCATTAGGAATTTACTGCAGTCAATATAAACGAGGTATTATCAAAACAAGCAACTTGTAATCTATGCTAAAATCTTTGGTAGTCCTCTTTTTGATAATATTGAATCCAAGCTCAGAGATTATCTACCGTCGATATCTGGATTTTGTTCTCTTAATTAAATGTTAAATAATCTATTTGAGTACATTTTAGTGTGGATTTTAGCCTGGAAAGTTAGATATTGTCAAAAAATGCAAATCACGATCAGCAGCTTTACAGATTGTGAACTAGGAAACAAAAAATTTGGTGCGTTTTCAGAAATATTTCGTATAATTTTTTTAGTTTTGTTTTTCTTGTATGTTTTATTTTTAGAAAATGCAAGAGAGAGTGAAGCCGACTGGCTTAGAAGCACAGGTACCTCTATCAACATTAATGTTTAATGACATATTTAAATTATAGTTAACAAGATTAGTTCATTTATCAATAACACATTGTTTTTATACGCCAACTTTGAAATGTGGTTGTATACTGTTGTCACCAATGTCCGTCCATTCATCCATTGTTCACAAGCTACACTTTGACTTATCATCCCTCTGACTTTAATTCTATACACAGGTTTTATTTTCAAGAGACAAAGAATCCTTTTTGATTTTCAGTGAATTGCGATAATTAGTTTATAGCTCTTGATCAATTTTAAAACCCGTCTTCATTAGCCCAGGTTAGGAGAAGAACAGTAGGACGTTAAACCCCATTTCATTTCATTTCATTTCAATTTGAAATAGCTTGTGGATGCTCTACAGACTCAACTTATCATCAGATTGACTTTAAATTTAAGTTCATATTCAATGATTTACAATAACTCAAACAACTGAAGTTATCATCTGATTACCTGTACATGTTTTGTAATAAATAATAGCATTAGGAACAACTAGCAGTCCATTTGATTATTTCTAATAATTACTTCATAGGTTGTTACTCTTGATCAGTTCTTAATGTTTTATGAACTGCTTGAATGACTTAGCTGCTGTGGGTGTATGATTTGTTGCTTGTCGATCTACCTTTCAATATTTTTGTTCATTTGACAGTTAAATTAAATTCATTTCATTTCTGAAAGGTACTCTTTATTATCATGTAAATGCAGTCAAGAATAATGCTTAACAAATATAATAAAATGCTATTGCTTATCTGATATTAGTCCAAAATACTCCAAAATGTATGATATTTGACTATTTTGGTACTTAACAGTTAAAATGATATTAGTACTGTTCTTTTGTATATTGTTTGTAAATCCTTGGCCTCGATTTCGTTCGAGGCACACAAGAGGCACACACTGATTCTGTTTTGGCTGTCAACCAATGAAATAGCCATCAAAAAGTCTAGGAAGGAAATCAAACATTTCAAACTTACACTTATACCTGAGCACACCTTTCACAGCAAGAAGTGTAATTTTAAAAGATAAAATTTAATTTTGAATACTAGTATTATACCGTAACAGTAAGTATTTTAAAGATCTGTCAGTATTAATCATATTATAGAGGCACTACATCAATAACTAAACATGTTAATAATAGGAGAAATATGAAATAAATATAACTATCATTATTGTTTATCTTAGCAGCATATATAAATCTTTTTAAAATTAATTTTTCGAAGATATTTTAATTTGAAATAGACATGTTGTTAACTTCTATCTTTCTTACTCTTTTAGTTAGCACTCTATTCAATGCTTTACATCTTTTTAACCGTTTCGCATATTTTGTGACCACTGGCCAATTAGATATATATTATATTGGGTTTCTTCCTATACTGCATTCATATTCATACCCTGCTTAGAAGAGATTTAACCATACCTGCATAAGTAAGAAGACTGATAAATTTACTGTCAAAAGTATAGATAATTTCTAGACTTATGAAATGCACTAGGTACAAACAATATGTGCTGCGCAAACTTACCAAATTTTTACAACTATTGTGGGAGACATCTGATAGAACCATAGTATTGTGTAGAGGGCGATAAGCGTTTAATTTGCTTACCAAATAAATTTTAAAGAATATTTAGATGCTTTTTTAACATCTATTGCAGTACAATTGTAAATAAAACAGATTGATTTGATGTATTTTGTTCAGTTTTTATGTTAAATTATTTTATGTTTGATTTTTAATTTTCATCAAATCAAAGGTTAATGATGGAGTATTGATATTGTATTATAATTATTCCGTTATGTTATTAGAAGTTTTTATATATTTTAATTAGATATTCTATATTAGGGCTTTAGATGATTTCTTCTACCTGTATCGATATTGACCAAATCAGCCATCAATTTGTTTGTCTGTCACACTTTTTAGAATGTTCAAATTTTGTGTAGATGTTTGTTTTGTGGATGCCTTAACTGAGTTCGATGATGAGCATTTTCTGCTTAGACTAAGCAGAGATAAGCAATTTGATAGATATCGAGACATCAGTACACAAAAACTCTGCTTCTACTTTAGGGCGAGTTTTGAAATTTGATGTAGTTTCATTACATAAATACCATGACTAATAATGATATAAATTTGATAATGAGCATTTTCTGCTTAGGTTAAGCAGAGTGGTTATACCATTTGATTGCTACAATTAGATGTCATCTATTTAGAGAATAGGGTGGGGGACACCAGCCTCACTGTTGTCTTGTTGTATATTGTATAGTAGAATTTGTTATTTTAGAATAGAATGTTTTATTAACAGGAACATAATTTCAGTACTGTGATATTTTCATTGACAGGAAAAGGCAGTTACAAACCTGGCAAAATGGATACAGTATCCCTGTCTGCACTAAAAATTAAAACTTTTATTTTTCCTGGGAATTAATTTATTTGTCTACTTCCAGGAACGGAGAGGAAAGGTATTAGTGCTGCATGTGATGAAAAAGAAGACACATCTACAAAGTTTTCACACGAGGCTACACCAGCACCACCTACGAGAACGAAATTAGTTCTGTCTGGAGGAGAAGGATATGTTGACTTTAGAATGGGTAGGTGATCAATATATCATGTTAACAAATATGGCACCAACCTTGTTAGATTTGATAAATGATGAACTTGGTTACTCAGACAAACATTAATTTCTTGTAAATTTGACTCATGTATTTCACAAGTATTAACATGAATATAATCCTAAAATAGACATGCCACTTATTTCCTTTGTCTCCAAATAATGATTTCGCAAAACTGATTGGAGCAAAAGAACTAGTTTTGGAGAAAAAAAAAGGCTTAAAGTTGCAATTGCAAATTTTCAAGTTATATTTTTAAAATGTATTAAAATAAAGCCTTAAAATAGATGGTATCCATAAACAGTCCTACCTTGTTAAAGAATAATCCTATTAATCCTATAATTCGCTATTGCCAGCTGAGAAATTGGCAAAAATATCATTTGTCATAGATTTTTAAGGGTGGGAAATAATGCCCATGATCGTATAATAGTGATTTGATAACCTATTGAGCAAAAGACATAGAAATAATTATGTTTTGACTTTCTTAGAAAATTTGAAATTCTCGCTTTAAGTAAAAAGTATAATCCCATTTTAGATAACTTTCAACCAATCTCTTTACTTTCTGCCCATTATTCCTGTTGTATGTGCCCACAATTTGACAATAAATCACATTAAAATTGATGTATGTAGTTTACATTATTGAGACAAAGAAGCGTATTAAATTTCAACATTTCTGTCAATTACTACTAGAGATGTGACCCTTATTTCTCTGTAGAATCTTGTGAACGCTTCAACAACAGAAGTTATCATCTGATCTGCTTGAAATGTTTAATAACAATTCTTCATCAGATATTATTGTTTTAAGATAGTTTTACTATTTTAATTAATTTCAAATAATAGTAGACAAACAAATCCCTTATAATTTCCTAATTTTAAGATTAATTTGCATGTTTTTCCAAATAATGACTAAAAGACATAACTAGATTATTTTTATTAGTAACAATTCTTATCTAAAGTGCATAGCGGTAAATAAATCGCAGTGTGTGAAATCTGTGGCTTTTGGCACAAAATTAAAGATTTAGACATAATTAGTACAAAATAAGAGATTTAGATGTAGCGCACTGATCTGTATAAGATTGTAAATGTCTCTGAACCTTTTCGGGCTTTGACTTATGATTTAAGGCTATCTATATCCGAAATGTCAGTTATTATTATGATTAATAATTTAAAGAGATTATTGAAATTTGGTGTTGATTATATTGACAATATAATCAATAATAATTAATAAACATAAAATAAGAATCATATTATTATTGACATGTACAAGGGCTGGCTGAAAAGTTCTAAGCCTGAAAAGGATAGATCAATTTTGTTGATAACTGTAGTGTTACTGTTATTATTGTCTTCATACCAGATCATCTTGTGAACCTACCCATTGAAATCACCAGAAATGGACAAAACCTATAGGGCAGTCATCAAGTACCTGCAACTGAAAGGACTACCCCCAACACAGATACATGCCGACATGGTCTCTACTTTAAGGGATAATGCCATTTCCTTTTCCCCGGTAAAAAAGTGGGCTGTGGAATTTAAGCCTTGAAGATGACCCATGTCCTTGAGGGCCATCAACAGCAGCCATTCATGAAAACATTACCCGAATGCATGACATGGTAATAGCTGATCAACGATAGATAACTCAATATATTGCCAGTGTTGTGGGCATCTCTCATGAGAGGGTTAAGCACATTATCTCCAACGAGTTAAGAATGACAAAAGTTTCTGCAAAATGGGTGTCAAAGCTCTTGAATGCGGATCAGAAACACGTCAGATTTCTGACGTCCAGTTACAATCTGAGCCGTTTTGAGACAGATCCGGATAATTTTTGGGCCAAATCTGTAACCATGGATGAGACCCGTTTCCAAAAAGGAACTAGCCAGTAGTCATGTTCCTAGTAATGATGATGTCATGTCAGCTGTGAATGACTTTTTTAGGGTCACTGAAGAACATTTCTTCCTGACCGGTATCCAGGCCTTGCAACTTTGTTGGCAAAACTGTGTACACCTGAAAGGGGACTATGTAGAAAAATAAATGAAAACCATCGACTTTGTACAGGTCTTTCAAAGATAGACTTAGAACTTTTCAGTCAGCCCTCGTATGTGGTATACATTGATACAATATAGTAGTCTTTCCTGGTCTAGAACAAAAATAACGTGTCATATGTAGTAATACCTATATATCGTGTTATATAAATATATCTGTGTAAACTAGATTGAAATTATCACTCTCACCATGAAAATTAATACTGAATCTGAATAATATATTCAAAATAACCATAAACTCTCTTTTTACCATCAAACATCCAAGAACTAACCATGTTACAGTAATATATATTATGATTGGTAAATTGACAGGTATAATGTTTTATATCTCAGTGTTAACTTGACAGGTTTACCTTGAATTTGACATACAAACATGGCATGATGGTAACACAGAAAATTCAATGCAATTGATCAGTTACCAAACCTAAATCATTAACTGTTGCCGGGGGGTTGGATGGCCGAATGGTTAGCACATGCCCGCTGTATCTTAAGGTCTGTCATTGAGTCAACTGGCAGGGGTTTCGATTCCCCGGTTGTACGTGACAAGGAGTAGGCTCGCCTGTCCAAACTCGTGGGTTTTCTCTGGGTCCTCCAGTTTCCTCCCACCGCTAAAGACCCCTACGCCCAAGCAAATTATTGAAATAAAATTGAACCATGTGTTAGTCCCGAAATGACCTAGCTTGTGTCGAGTGGACGTTAAACCCCATTTCTCTCTCTCTATTAACTATTGCCATTAATCAAGTGTCTTTGTTATTTGGTGATGATACTCAGATATACGACTTTTATCTGGAGCACCAGAAGCAGCGCTTGATATACTTCAAATCGCCACAAGACTTGTCACAGGAACCTCAATATATGATCACATCTCATTGCACCTGAAGCAGCTACACTGGCTACCATTAAAAGCCAAGATAAAATTTTAAATTCTTGTCAACTCCTATAAAGGCTAACCAAAACAGCTCCTAATTATATAGTGGAAATGTTTAATGTTTACACCACTGGCCGGCTAATCTTCGTTCGGGACATAACAAACACCTACTAGCTGTTCCCAGCTTTCATCGCCAGGTGGGCGAGTTTTCATTAATTACCCAGAGACATCAGAGAGTGTACCTAACTATCTCAGTTTAAATCTAAACTAAAGACTCATCTGTTTAGAGAATCATATAAATAGAATCATGCGTGTACCATTGTGTAAATATGACTGTACAGCACTTAGAAATAACTATTGTTATAATGTAGTGCTTTAAAAATGAAATAATAATAATACAATCTAAACACATCAAATTGAAAACAAAAATGTTTTTCCAACTGCCCCTGACCCCAAAGCACTAATGCTTATAGTTGTAATAATTAAAATTAAATTAATTTCAGTTTGCATAAATTTAATGATTTTTTCATATGAATGAAATTGAATTTTCTGTAGTCTTATTTTTTGAAAGCTAGTGTTAAATCACCAGTTACTACAACTTTTACTTCAGTTTTCTCATCCATGAATACCAAGGATAAATCTAATAATAAAATTTATATGCTTACATTGAAATGTGGTCAAATATTGTCACACTGTCCGCCCCAAATCCACAATTGCTTGTCAATGCTCTAGATGGTAAAGTTACTCTCCGAATAACTTTATATTTATACACAGTGTTTATGTTCATGAGACAAAGAGTAAGATGCCTATTGATTTCCAACAAAGTTATGGCCCTTGATCACTTTGAAAAATTTGGGTACTCTAAGTGGCTAAACTTACAAGCCAATCAAACTTCAGATATTTACTTATGGTTTGTTATTATGGGTCAGTTTTTAGTATCTTATAATGGTCCTATTACCTACCAGAAAACATTTGTGGACTGCTAGAACGACTTAGATGCTGTGGGCGATCATTTCGTTCTGTTGAAAGTTGATCAACAAAATGAGTAAACATTGAGGGATGTGTTCCCAATTGCTAATTAAGACTGATCACTATCTCCGATAAGTTCTCTTTGCCCCTAATCACTGTCTAGCCCTAATCAGTGTTCAAGAAGCCAGGGTTCTCGCAGATATTCATTTTACCTTATTCTGAAACTTTTGGAAATTTGTGACAAAATTTCATATTTTTATTAAAATTGTGTATTTTAGGTGATGGAGGAGAGGAAGAAGTACCTGATCCAGACGAAGAAGAAAAGAAAGCCTCATTAACAGGAAAATATGATAGAAGTCATTTAATAGTATGGCAGATCACCTCACCTGAATAAAATATAAGTCCCCTGTATTATATTCTTAGTTACTGATTACATCGTGCTATATGTTTATTATACTATCTGACAGTTACATGTAATTACACCAAGTCTACCACACCATGGTTGCCACAATAATTTATTTTAATTCCTGTAAGTTATGAATGCTGAAGGCTAAGAATACCTTCTCATCACCTCTTCTCATTATTGTAAATGCACTGTTCATTAATAATATAAAATAGTGTTTTGTTACAGGCTGTAATCGACAAATAATACTCCTACACCATCGTCCATCATAAAGTTCTGTTAGCAATTTCAAACCAAAAATAATAAACCTATCTATCTTGGAAGACTGTTTTCCATTATTTGGTTTTAAATTATCATTTAATGTTATGTAGTCTATAGTTGTAATACAAATGCAACAAGAGAAATGAATGCATGATGTGTTTCAAAATGTTTATTTTTTTTCTGTATTGCATATTTTTATTTGCACACAATGATTTTCAACTCCTTTTCTGCATGCAATCTGTAATGAAGTTAAAAAGAAAAATATGTTGCTGAGAAGTTGATGTTTAATCTATAAAATAATCAATTATTTAAAAGAGTCTTTCATTCTGTTATAGTCAATTCCATGTACTTGTATTTTATTGCTTATAGTTAATATAAATTGGTATATGTTTAGATGCTGAGTTCATGTTTCCCACATTAAGACACAGCAATGTTTTGTATGATGTACTGTTCTTAATTACATCCATGAAATAAATATATAATTTATTTATGTATGTATATATATACGATGTAAATAACAAGTTCATGGTCTTTTAAGCGGCATTTATTATGTGATGTGATCAAATTGGTTGATATATTACCGTTTAATAATAATAGTACGATTTTATAAATCTTGAATTACCGACATGACCTTTTATATAATAATTATGCATTCAGATTTTATTTTTTTCCTGAGTTCATGATAATGAATTGCTAAGTTTAGAAATAATGGTCTTATTGTCCTACTGTTCAAGAATTTGAATAAATATAAATATTCATAATGTATTTTTAAATATTTATATTTAGACAATTTATTAAAAGTTATTTTAACAGACATGTATATCCACATATAAATTATTCTTCTCTATCGTTTATTATTTTATATTTAACTTTATTATAATTTTAAGAAATATACTCAAAGAAAATTAATCATTTCGGATTTCATTTTGGTTTCTTGTAGTGTTTATTTTTTTTCTACGGATGCAAAAGTTCATAACATGTATGACAGTTTTCTTTTATTGTAAATATACCTATGTATATATATATTAATTATCTTTATTTAAGACTATTACTTGCATAATAATATATATATAATAATATGATCAAATAATATTTATGGAACAGGTAATGATGTCAATCAAATAGATACAAAAATATATTTTTTCGTCTTTATATTATTGTCTGTTTTAAATACAATGAAATCTGGTATAAGCCATTGATAGAGATGTTTTTAAATTTTATCAACCGTAACTGGTTAAAAGTATTTCATTTTAAATTTTATCAACCGTACTTGGTTAAAAGTATTTCATTTTAACCTTGTATAGATAGAACTGTTGAATTTGTCAACTCCACAGAAATACTTGTAGTTGACAAATAAGGCGAACAATTATGCATGTAAAAGTAATGGTTATTCTTTGGTTAAGAAAAAGTTGAACGATATGATTGATGGTTTGTTAGAGAAAGAATTGATTAAACCAGGTTTCACTGTAATAGATATTGTCAATTTGTCTGCTAAAATGCCTGTTATATAATTATCATAATAAATAGAAAGGAATCCAGACAGTGGGAGATCAAATTGTTAATACTATTCATATTTGTGTTCATGCAAACAGAAATGTGTGCAGTAGTATTTTTAAGTATCCACTTTGAAAGAGACACAATCAATGATGCCAAAACCTTAGATGATCAGGATCAAATTCTAATCCTCACCAACAAAACTTTGATCTTTCTGTTAAGTAATCCTTTATCCACTATATTAAAATTTACACCTACACTTTTTTTATTACAGTTTGATAAAGATTAATTTATAACAAATTTCCTTAATCTGAAGTTTATCCAGGCAAACATTTTCCTGTGCACCATATTATGAATTATAGACTCTTACCGATACACCAATTTATCATTTTGTATTGATCATTTTGAATTTGATTGCATTCAAAATCGATGGTAGTGTATCTTATTGTTAAATTTATTTCTGCAACCAGAACCATTTATTAGTCAGAAACTTATCAATTATGTTTTGTACAGAAAATTAAAATCTTATTTTTTTTTTTAATTGATTGTGTCCCTTAAAAAATGTTCAACTATTTTAGCAGAAATGAGAAATTGCCCAACTGGATTTTAGAAAATATGTTTTGTTCCGGTTTTATTGAGAATAAAAAGTCTATAAAATTGCAGCATTTATAGAAAGCATGTGCTATGATGGTGTTCAGATAGGATATAGGAGAAAATCTCCAAATTATCTGTGCTAGGATTATATATTTATGCCTCAGTAATGTATGTATCAAGTCAGTGGAATTAATAAATGATTGAAAAGATCTGTCTTTCATATTCAACATAATCAACACAGATATGCTCTACATAATGTGGGCATGTTTTACCCCTCCTAGGAAAATGACAGGCATCAGAAGTAAACGAGAATGCAGAAAGCATAGCAGGTATTTGTATATTCTAGAGCTGAATACTGGGTCCCAAAATCATATTGCAATATCAGTAAATTGGTCATTATTATTGCATGCTTAAATAATTGTTCTGGCACAGTGAAATAGAATCAGGAGGTAAGACAAAAAAGGTGGTATTCGAACTGTAATTACCTGAAGGACAGGTTGCATTCGGGCTTGGAGGTCGGTTGGCCGAATGGGTTAATGGTCATAAGGTGTGTCATTGAGTCGCTTGTTCAACCTCATCAGTTTTCGCCGGGTCCTCTGGTTTCTTCCCACTGCTAAATACCTCCTATGTGCAATGCAATTATTGAAATAAAATTGAATTGTGTTAGTCCCGAAATGACGTTAAACCCCACTTCTCTTTCTCAGACAGTGGTGTTCTGACTATGTATGCTAAATTCATGTTCATCGGATCACTCGAGTCATTTCCACATAGATACATATGGAGATTTTGATTTCTTTCTAAACATTGAAAATCAATAGCAGATAAATAAAGCCCAGCCTCATCCATAACAAGAACGAATGGTTGGTAAGCAAGTAACAGAAACCGGGTTTCTTTTTTGAGCAGTTCTTTTTATTATGTACGTTCCCCCCTTTACAATATAATTGTACATAATATACCAACCAAATATATAGGAAACAAAACACATTACTTATTCTAATACTTACGCTGACTTACCACCGATGATCACAGGCAGATTTCTGAGATATAAATGTGTGAGGGCAGGGGCGACAGTTAACATTAAGAGTTCCACTTCAACAATTAATTAAATTAGACAAACAGGCAGCGGTTAAATCGCTGAAATCATGATACAAATCCATTGCATGTCACATTACGCAGACATAAACACAAAACAGAATGACTTGTGGTCTCAATAATTTTTATCATTATAAGACGAAAATTGTTGATTTAATTATGAAGTCGTTTGGTGTCGCCACTGCAAGCTCATTTGGTGATTGTGCACCTGGTCGGGACCATTATGTTGATATGAATGATGCACTGGTTGAATGGTTGGTTGGACTGAGTGCTGAAATTGAGAGAAATTGGACAAAACCTAGGTCATTTTGGGATTAACAAATTTTATTTGAATAATTCGCTTGCGTGTAGGTGTCTTTAACAGTGTGAGGAAACTAGAGGACTCTGAGAAAACCCACTAGGTGGGACAGGCGAAATTGAAAACAACATCCAACGTGATATGGTTGGCAATTACTATTTCAAATATAAGCTAAACAACATTAAATATTGTTCATTTTAAGGCAAGTGAAGGAATTATATACTGTTAATCTGTATTCTATTACTGCTCTACAAAAATATCACTGATAATCTGTTCATGTGAATAGTGATGAAGTTTTTATTTCTGATGCCTTCATTATACTGACCTGACTAACTTTATGGTAGTTTTTTTTCCAACAATAATTATTCAAGTTGCATAAAGCGATACTGAATTTCATAGATAGTGGTCTTCTTGACGAAATTAAACCAAATGAAATGGGGTTTATCGTCCTACTTTTCTACACCAACTGGGCTAATGAAGTTGGTCTTACGCCATATAGTGTGCCACGGGGGAAATTTAGCCCGGATAGTGGCGCCTCGGTCTACCTTTATTACAAATTACAGCTGCCAAAGGTTTTTATCCGATCCAAAAGACTAGACACAGCCCCTGCCTACAATAACAGCAGCCTCCGCAAATCACAGGGACGGAAATAGTAATGTCAGAAATATAATAAAGCTTAGTTTTGCCAGTGTGTATACAAGCTGATGATGTTATATAACCCATAGAAATATATTTCTATGATATAACCGCATTTCTTCTGGCATGTTTCTCCCTATGGAGCGGAATTTCCCCCATAATTCTAACTTCTAACCTAGTAATGCGTATGCTAATATGCTTACTTCTATACATGTAAGTTCTTACTAACACATGTTAAATTGGCTATTTACACATGTAAAAATGTTAATTTATATAACTTATTTTTTAAATATTGCAGTTAGAATTTGTATTTTTTTCTATTTCCATTATTACATTTAATTTATTGTAGTCTGTATAGTTTCGTTAACATTTTGACATTTCACAAATGTTTCGCAATAAAGCCGTCATAATTCTAAGCTCATTTTGGTAACAGATGGCGCTATTTATTGTATGGAGGCTGATTAGCGACATGTAAAATCTCGCCTATTTCATAACCCGGCAGATAAAAATCATAAAATATTTTATGTACAAAAGCAAACTGTTGTAGATATTTTAAAATATATAAATAGGCTTCCCTGTCGTGCATTTTCCAATATACTGCTATATCGATTGATTTGGCATATTTTGTTTCTAAAAGAACAATAAAATATATAGAAAGAACTCATTACATCATGCAGTCAATAAATAAATATATAGCATATCTTTTCCCCTCAAATTTATGAAATATTTTTCACACACAAGTAAAGTATGTTTGATATTATTTAAGCTTTCTATCGGATCAAGCCTCCAAATCATTGTTAGCCGCAGTGGCTCGGTTAGTATGTCCCTGACTCGGTCTCGGGTTCGCTCCCGGTGTTGGAAGAGAAAGTCACTCGGGTTTCCGGCGTGATTTCCCCTTTTCAGTGGTGCAAGACGGAGTTCCTGACAAGGAACACTGTCTAGTCGTTCTAATAGCGTGCACGTAAAAGAACCCTGGACGTTGGGTTTTGAAATAAGAGTAGGCCCTAGCTCCGCTGTCAGTGCAAAATCACTGCACACTTCATGGCGTATTCCCGTCTTGATTAGCACAGTTGATGCTGAATGACGGACGTTAAACTCGATTTCATTTAATTTAAAGATATATAAATTATGAAGAATAGATAGGCCCAAAGAACTGACTAATGTAAACAGAATTTGCTGAAAATTTCAGTTCCCCTCTGAACCGAGAATTTAGCGAATGAATTTGGACCTAGCTTCGATCATCATTACTAAAGTCGGTACGAAAAAAAACCCATAATCTCGATTATCCATTTTTTGATTTAATCATGAATGAGCGTTGAGCAGCAGATCAAATTATAATCCAATAAACATCGCAGGCTAGCGATGACATCGACAGTTGATTATGGTCTGGATTAGTTAATTAATGTCTAATTAATAATTTAGATAACATTTCAGGCCTAAAGAAAGACCTGCAATAGGCAGATTCGGCTCTTGCTGATTAGCCGCTTGAATTGATCTTATTGATCTCATTCCAAAGTTTGGTGTCATAACTAACTAACTAATTGTTTCTCAATTCAATCTAAAATAAAATATTGTTTATAAACCAAAACAAACGCATTAAATAACTTTGTTCTACTGGTGTATTTCTATATTACTTAAATATTATCAGAATAATTTACTTTTGTACGTAATATATTATATTTATCTTTAGAAAAAATAGTCTATTACTTCTCTCAAAAATATCGAGAACGAATATTGCAAAAAAAAAGAGGTTAAATCAATTGATAAGGCCGTATTAAGGCAAATGCACGCAAAAGTAGCCTATTTATTCATCTGAAAAAAATCTAGAATAATTTGCTTTTGTACGTAAAATATTTTAGTATTATTGACAGAAAAATGTCGTCATGTCTGGAGGATAATGAAAAGGGCGAGATTTTACATGTCCCCAATTAGCCACCATATAATAAACAGCACCATCTGTTAGCATAATGTGCGTTAAAATTATGACTCCCTTTTAACCGGTTATGATAAGTCATAATTCTAACTCTCATTATGGTAACAGGTGGCGCTGTTTATTATATGGTGGTCCATTGAGGACATGTGAAGTTGTGCCTTTTTATATAACCCAAAAACACGACATTTTTGCTTTCAAACATAGGCACAAAAGTAAGTCATTCTCGACAAGTTTTAAAACAAAATTAGGCTATTTTTTTCTCTAAAAGAAAAAATAAAGTATTTTACGCAGAAAAGTAAATTATTCTAAGTTTTTATTGTGTTTGTTTTGGTTTATAAACATTGTTTTATATTTTACAGAAGGTTGGATATTGAAAGGGGTTTTCGGCTAAGGGGCCATAACCTAATTTGATAAAAAAAAAAATCTGTTAAAAACTATAGCCTGTATTGCGTTCACAATGTTTTCGGAAAAGAATCAAAATTATGATCTCTTCGGGGCTAAAATCCAGAAAATTACGGTCCAATATGTGACAAAATTGAACCTATTCGAGTTCTTTCAAATATAACATATAATTTTAGTTTTAAAATAAATCGAATAAAAATTGTAACCCACAAGGTATGTGTGCGATTTTCGTACGGTCAGAAGCTATAATCCAAAAATGTTATCGTGAGATAAGTGCCAAAATCGAACCCATATTTGTCTATACTACCCTATGGAAACATTAATGGGGGTCACGGAGGCTAAGTAGGTATGACGCTGGCTCGCTAGCCCGGAGACCGGGGGTTCGATCCCTGCATTGGCCGAGAAAGTTCAACTCCAGGAGCGAACCCGGGACCTTCTGGTAACCGAGCCAGTGACTTCCTCACCGAGACACCGCGGCTCCCGATGATTTGGAAGCCTGGCCAGATATAGATTACTTCAATGATATCATTATTTGTGTGCGTAAAATATTTTATAATTTTGAGGGGATGAGATAAGCTAATCTAAGTATGACCGATTTATATTAATGTATTCAATTTCATGCATGACGTATATATTATTCTTTTAGAATAGTTTAGAATAGTTTGCTTTTGTTGGTAAAATATTTTTATTAATTTTGACAAAAAATGTCGTCAGGTCTGCCGGGTCAATTGTACATGTTCCAAATGAGCCACTATACAATTGTAAACCGCGCCGTCTGTTACCAAAATGAGCGCCTTTACCGCGAAACATTTGTAAAATGTCAAAATGTTAACGAAGCTAAATTGCCT